GCATATGATCAAGAGCAATGGTGCTGAAGGAAGATGTTCAAGATCGAATGAAGTCATAAGCAAAGAACAAGGCATCAGGAATCGATGGAAAACAAACTAGAATCTTTAAATAAACTGATGCAGCAGTGAAGGCACTCACTCATCAATACAAAGAAATTTGGAAGACAGCTACCTGGCCAACTGATTGGAATGCATCCATATTTGGGCCAATTCCAGAATGTGAAAATCATCAAACAAAATTATGATCATATGGAAAGTAAATTTTATTAAAGATAATTTAAAAATGGCTTCAACAGTACTTGACAGGGAAATACCAGAGGTTCAAGCCAGATTCAGAAGAGGACATGAAATGACGGATATCATTTTTGATATCAGATGGATCTTGAATGAAAGCAGAGAATACCAGAAAGATGTTTGCCTGTGCTTTATTGACTATGGAAAGGCTTTTGACTATGTGAATCATGACACGTTATGGACAACATTGTGAAGAATGAGTATTCCAGAACAATTTACTGTGATCCTGAGGAACCTATATATCTGATCAAACAGAATAAGGTGACACTGAAGATTTAAACTAGGAAAGATGTGTGCCAGGGTTTTATTCTTTCATCATAATTATTCAATCTGGATGCTGAGCAAATAATCCAAGAAGCTTGATTATAAGAAGAAGCATGTGGCTTCAGGATTGGAGGAAAACTCATTTATAACCTGTGATATGCAGATCATAACAACCCTTCTTCCTGAAAGTGAAGAGGACATAAATATTTACTTGGAAACCTTATACCTGATCGCTATGGGTCAGAACTGCCTCGATGGCACTTAACAACAACAACAACAACTCTATACAAGAAGTCCTGGTGTGGCATTATGGGTTAATGCATTGGACTGTATAGTCAGTTTGAACTGCAAGATCGGCAGTTCAAGCTCACCAGCTGTTCCTTGGAAACGCTATATAGGGTGGCTATGGGTCGAAACCAACTCGATGGCACTTAGAAACAACATCAACAGTTCTATCCAAAAAGAGCTCTGGTAGTGTAGTGGTTATGAGTTGGGCTGCTAAACTCAAGGTCTGCTGTTCAAAACTACCAGCGTTTATGCAGGAGAAAGATGAGACTTTTTGCTCCCGTAAAGATTTACAGCCTCAGAAACGCTATGCAGGGTACCTCTGAGTCAAAACCGAAACCACAGTACATAACCAATTCTATCCCAAAGCAGATCTACAATTTGGCTTATTCTGACTAATGGATTCTAATTCCTAACATAGTCTTTTGATTTAAGATAGTGGGGGGGGGGTACTTTATAATCTAATCAAATACAATGAGTACTAGAGAATAAATTCAATGGACATTTTGCTGCAATAGCCTAGTAATATGAGACAAATTGGTAAACTACAGGGTTTGTTTTCTTTTTACTGTGCATACAAGTTAATGCTTAAAATAGGCTTGATAAGAGTCATAGTCTTGCATATTTTTTTCCACAGAACCATCAAAATTATATTACAAGTATATAGGAATATATACTTGTATTACAGTCCATACTCTAACGTTTTATATAACCTTATCTCATATATCTATTTAGTTTCATTGAATAGCTACAAAAATTACATACTCCTAAGTGGAAGAATAAACCACACTCATGGACAAGGAGAATTAACACTGTGAAAATGTCTACACTACCCAAAGCTTGGAGTCCTGATGTGGCACTGTGGGCTAATGCATCACACTGCAAAGTCGTTTGAACTGCAAGGTCGGTGGTTCAAGCTCACCAGCTGCTCCTTGGAAACCCTATACAGGGTTCTATGGGTCGGAATCGACTAGACAGCATTTAACAACAACAACATAACCCTAAATGCCTCATAGGGTTTCCCTGTCTGTAATCTTTCCAGGAATAGATAACCAGGTCTTTTCTCCCACATAACAGCTGAGAATTGAACTGCTAATCTTTCATTAAGCAGTCAAGTGCTTTGACCATTGTGCCACCAGGCACATTTATAATAATATGTAATGATATCTATAACAATAGGAATCTGAATTATAGAAAATAACATAAATATGTTCTTTTTAATTGGTAAACTAACTATGGGTCAGTTGTTACTATTAAGTGCTGTTGAGTCAATTCCGCCTCATAGAGTTTCCAAAGCTGTCTATCTTTGTGGGAGCAGAAAACCACATCTTTCTATAGTGGAGTTGCTGGTGAGCTCGAACCATCTACCTCATGATTCACAACCCAGTTGCTTATTCTACAGAGCCGTATTTTCTCCCAAATATGGTAGGGGTAATCTGTTTTTTCATTTCTATTATAGATGAAGGTTGTAGAATGAGGGTCTCACATATACAGAAACATTTTTTTATTTTCAGGGGAAAAAAAACTGCCTTTAAAAATTAGTAGTAGCTAATAGTGGTTACGAATCGGGCTGCGAGCCACAAGGTCAGCCTCGGAAACCCTGTACAGGGTCGCTATGAGTCGGAACTGACTCCACAGCACATAACAACAACAACAATAGAACACTGGAAGGAGCTCTGGTAGCATAGTGGTTATGAATCGGGCTGCAAACCTCAAAGTCAGCAGTTCAAAACTACCAGCTGCTTCGTGGGAGAAAGATGAGGCTTTCTGCTCCCGTAAAGATTTACAGCCTCAGAAACCCTGTACAGGGTCGCTATGAGTCAAAACCAACTCCACAGCACACCACCACCAACCACTAAGATAACACTGGAGTCCTGGTGTGGCACGTGGTTTAATGTGCTGGACTGCAAAGTTGGTTTGAACCACAAGGTCGGCGGTTAAGCTCACCAGCAGCTCCTTGGAAACCCTATACAGGGTCGCTATGGGTTGGAACCGAGTCGACAGCACTTAACAGCAACAATATAACATTATATTTACTAAATCAACATGAGGCAAACAAAGTTTAATTTTACCATATGGCCACTTAATGATGATAGTTCAGAACACCAAAAAGAAGTTAGAGAAAGAACTGGGAAAAGAAATAAGGAAGCAGGGTGACAGGGAGAGGAATTAGAAAGAGAAATAATAGAAATGGAAATCAGTCTGAAAGCATCTAATGTGTTTACTTGAAAAGTATCTTTTCCAACTTGCTACTGATATTCTATAATTTTTATTGTTTGAAAGCAGAAGACTGACTGAAATTTGATATATCATCAAATTGTTGCCCATCTTTTTGCAAGAATTCCATTTTATATCAAAATGATTCTTATTAGGGCATATCTGTAATCCTACTATAATTTTGAACTAAAGAGAAACAGATTATTATCTACAAGAAGGTGTGTCTACATAATGGTAACAAAGAAAGAAAATGCTTATAAGAAACGACTAAAATACTTTTAAAATCGTCATCAAAGGGATATAAAATGTAACTTAATACCTCTGACTTGCATTCTTTTGACCCACATACAAGTATAAAGTAATACTATATATTAGAACCAAACCTGATCTAACCAGAAACAAGTTTATTATTTATTCCAGAAAAACATTCTTTATTTCCAGTACGTCTAAAACAGACAATGAACTTACTCCACCATTACAGACTCGCTTCATTACAAACAGTTTTACTGCTCTTCTTAGCCTTCTCAGGACAAGCAGTTCACTTCCTTAGAGCAAACACTTCCCTGTCATATGTGAGTTTTGAATTATGTAAAATGTTAGGTCCAGATAATCAAATTCAGTTTTCATGAGAACTTCCTTTAAAGTTTCAAATAAGTCAACTTTATTCTGTTTCTCTAAATGAATTAAAAATAAACATCTTAACACTTATTTTATTAGGCTATGCCAATTAGAACACATTTTATTAAAATATGTTTATGCAATCTTTGCATTTACTTCTTAGCCCCAAGAGCTAACACAATAAAATATTTCACCCACAAAATGTTTAGATTATAAACATTCTCAATATTGTTTCATGAGAAATAAAACAAAGGTAAACAGTAAAATCCAAATTTCATTTTTTAAGTAAGTAACATCTGAAATGGTAAAGGAATTAATTTTTTTTCTAATTTTATTTTGTTTGAAATTTTAAATAATTTCTTTGAAAATATCAAATAAATAATTATCATTTGTTGTTGTTGATGTTAGGTGCCATCGAATGGTGCTGACTTATAGTGACCTTATGCACAGCAGAACGAAACATTGCCCAATGCTGGGCTAACCTAACTATTGTTGCCACACTTGAGCAAACTGATGCTGCCATTTGGCCAGTCCATCTCGTTGGGGGTCTTCCTCTTTTTCTTTCACCTTCCACCTTACCAAACATGGTATCCTTCTCCAGCGACTGCTCCCTCCTGACAACATGTCCGGAAGTATGAGAGACAACGTTTGGCCATCCTGGCCTCCAAGGAGCACTCTGGCTGCACTTCTTCCAACACAGAGCTGTTGGTTCTATGGGCAGCTCATGGCACTTTCAATATTTTCCTCCAACATCGTAACTCAAAAGCATCAATTCTTCTATAATTATCTAGTGCTATTGGCACATAGTAAATCCACTATTTACCTATATTTACTGAACAAAAAGTTATTACCTATTGTAGTATTTGATAACTACTAGTCATGAAATTGGTCATAAAACCAGTAAAGTGGGTTGTAAAATTGTCATTAAAAAAAGATTAGCCAGTATGAGACTATAATAAGAAAAATGTTGTTTCTTGAAACTTTAGCTTTAGTGGTATTTACATTCATAAACATATATATATGTGTTTGTTCAGTCATTCTTGGAGATGTATTTTTGATATAAAAAATCACGATGAAGTAAACAAATGATATTATTGACACAGTAAGAGATAGGGAAATGATTATCAAGAGAGCTCTAACTGTAATAAGAAAGGTGGTGTACATGGATTTATGGTTATGTTCATGGTTGCTACTGCTTCCAATTTTGCTCACCTATTTTCTGCTTGTTGCAATGATCAGATTTACAAGTATGACTTCGTAAAGGAAAACAGTAGAAGAAGGTTCAAGTCAAAACCTGAACGTTTCTATTAATAGACTCTTACCTGTCGGTAATCCTTTTCCTCTCAACCGGTCTCGAATAGCCTGGCTTCGATCAGGCTTCGGTTCATTGTTACGGGAAAGCTGATCCGTCTGTATACAGGTAATCAAAAATCAAGTTTGACAAAAGAATTTCCCTTTTACTTTCATGGCAATTGTCTACAGAGTGACACAAGTTATACAAGTTTGGAGGGGATAGCGTTAACTAAAGTGTTAGATTCCATATCTTATTCTAAATACATATTTCTTCAATAACTTATGTAGCTCAGTTTCAGTCACTGCACCTTCAGGAAATCAAAAGGCAAGAAACACTTCCCCAAAATAATCTGTTAGCTAAGGAACAAAGTTATTCAGATTAAAGTATTGGAAAAATGAGTCGCATTTGAAAATAGTTAACTTGAAATGTTCTTATTTCTGGCCCCAACTGACAGCAACTTTCATCTTTCAATTTTTAAACCACATTAATTCTGGTATAATAAAGTTTTCTCATGATTTTAGCTATGCTGTGAAGATACTGATTTTAAACAGTCTCTTCAAATTCGTTTTCAGAAATTATTTTCTAGATGTTGCCTATCTGAAATTATGTTTGAGAAATGTTAAGCTTTAAACTTAATGAACCTGCCAGAGGATGACAGTTAAATTCAAATGAGCGCCCCTATATAATACAAATGTTTAAGCGGTCTTAAATTACTAACTTTAACCAAAGGTACTTAATTAAAGTAAAGCATGTCAAATTTGGTCTAACTCCACCATTATAAGGGGTGAAAAGTTAGAACACTGGGTTTATTAAGACAACCAATTGAAGAAGTTTTGAGAAATAAACAGAAGGAAAAAAAAGAGTGAAATTACTTGTATCTGGCACCAAGAGTATGCATACGATGCTGATTTAGACATACACACATTTAACAGTCCTTCAATATTGGAGTGAAACTTATTTAAATATGTACTAAAAATCCAAGTCAAAGGCAGTGTATTAAAGGCTCTAGCATCATGCTTCCTACCTTTAAGAAGATTTAAATGGAAATATTTTTGAATATTATCATTGAAGATGAATAAATAATTATTAATCCAGGTTGCTGTGTGCTGTTAAAGCGAAGATATAGAGCGTATCCTACATCTTTGTGAATCTCTGCATTAAAGCTACTATTACTAGTAATAACTATTATTTGTTGAGCAGATATTATATGCCGAGTACTAGTTTAAGTGGTTTTCATACTTTATCTTATTCAATCCTCAAAACAAGGTGGTAGATAGTATTATCATTCCAATAGTACAGATAAAAGGACAGTGGTTTTTTTAGAACAGTGGTTCATTTTGGAAATTTGAACTCACCAGCTACTCCACTAAAGAAAAGATGTGACTGGTCTGTTTTAATAAAGGTTACACAGCTTTAGAGACCCATAGGACATTTCTACTCTGGCCTTTAGGATTGCTGGGCTGACAAGGGATTTTTGGTTTGGGGATTCTGATCTAGCAAAGAGGTAAACAGAACGAAACTTCTTCTAAGGACCTTCAAGGAGCTCATTAACACTGAAATCATTTTCTTCACAACTGCTCTGTAAAATGATTCCTGTTTTATAGATAAGTAAAATTCAGGCAAAAGGTTTTAAAAAAAAAATCAGTAGAAAAAACTTGGATAAGTAACCTGGCCTACTGACTTTTACTATTTGCTAATTTCAAATTTTGGAAACCCTATACAGGATCACTATGGGTCAGAACCCACTAGACAGCACTTTGATTCCAACTTATAGCAACTCTGGTGTGGTGCTGCGGGCTAATGTGCAGTCTTACCAGCCGCTCCTTAGAAATCCTACAGGATCATTACCAGTCAGAACCAACTCAACGGCACTTAACAACAACAACTACAACATAAGGCAGAGTAGAAGTGCTTCTCAGGATTTATAAGACCATAAATTTTTACAGGAGCAGACAGCCTCATATTTCCTCGGAGAGGAGATTGGTGAGTTTGAACCGCCACCCATGCTTAGCCCACTGAGCCACTAGGGCTCCTAAATTCATTTTAAGTAAGAATTCTGGTCATTTAGAAGGGATTTCCCATCTGTGATAAACCAACTCCTTGAGTTACTCAAAACAATGGCCTTAGAGGAAAATACAAGCAAACAACAGGGAGCTAGGAGTCAGAGAGACTTAGGTCCCAATCAAGACTCTCTCGTTCACCATGGGTCACACGTTGAGCAATTTATTTAGTTTTTCTAAACCTTAGTTTCATCATCTCTAAAATGAGGATAAAATGTATCACTTTTAACCTGAGAGTGTAATGATGAATAAATGTGGTAAGCATGTAAGCTACTCAGCAGAATACCTGACACAAAGTAAACGCATCTAAAGAGATGGTAGCTGCCGGAGCCACTGCCGGCCAAGGATGAGCAGAAGACTCATAGCGCAATGAAACCATTACTACACTTATTAAATGTAACTAAATATTAATATCTTTATGCTAAACTCAAAGATTATTATGCTTCACTCAAAATGTATCTGTATAAAAAGACTGCTCTCTCTACACTCTGATTCCAATTGATCCTGCTATTTCCTCTTCTGGTAAACATCTCCACAACACAACATAGCACAAACTAGACTGATTGCTAGTCCCCAAATGTATCATGGGCTCTCATTTCAGGGCATTTAAGAAAGATTGCCTCCCTTTGCTGAGACTACTCATTTTATCTCTCTTACAAAATCTAGTTCAAGGTGATATTTTTCAATGAAGTAGAAACTTTTTTCCTTTTCTCTCAAATTTTAGCTTTTTAAAAAAGGTGTACTCGTACTTTCATTTGCCTTATTTGAATTTTGTAATTAAGCAATTCTTAATAGATGGTCAAGGAATGGAATTAGATGCTAAGGCCTTAAGGGAATGAAGATAATTTATTTAACTAGGTAATTATTGGATGGATAAGAGAATTTCACTGAGGAATATTTCTTCATAGATAGGAAAAAGTACTTCCAGCAATTTTACTACTGGAATAAATCAGCTAACAGCACAATCATTTTAGAGAAGATATAGTATAATAGAAAAACCATGGAATAAAAAAGTATTGTTATTAAATGCTGTAGTGTTGTTCCAAATCATATTGACCCTGTATAGAGTTTTTAGAGCTTGTAAATCTTCGCGGAAATAAGAAGCCCCATCTTTCTCTCATGGAGCAGCTGATGGACTTGAACTGTCAACCTTGTGATTAGCAGCCACAGAATTGGGGTGGGGGGGAGGCAAATAAACAGGAAACTTTAATTCTACAAGCTGTTTGGGTCTCAACTTCCTCACCTATAAAGTGAAGAAGTCTGTACATGTGAGCATTTCCCAAAGGAAGTTAACAGAAAGAACATTAGGGCTATCATATCTATGAAATAAAACAATCTCTGGGGATTAATAAGTGTTTGTTGTTGTTTTTTGAATTCTGTTGAATCAATTCTGACTCATAGGAGCCCTGAACAGGATTTCTAAGGAGCAGTCAGTAGGTTGAACCACCAACCTTGAGGTTAGCAGTCCAGTGCTTAACTTACAGTGCTAAGCCAGGACTCTGCATTTTAGTCAAGGTGTCTGCAAGAGATAGATTCACATGCCAAAATGTGTTATCTACATATCTATCCCACTTAGAAACTAGTCCTGGCGTGGCACTGCAGGATAAATACAGGACTGCCAGCCACAAGGCTGACAGTTCAAATCCACAAATTGCTCCTCAGAAACCTTATATAGAATCACGATGCATCAGAACCAACTCTATGGTACTTAACAACAAGTATAATCTAATGTATTTAAGGCTCAAACAAGTTCTGCAATTGAAAATATATTTCATTTCCTTCAAGCTTATATGATCAAGAGAAAATTTTTAAACAAAAATTTAAAATCAGAGCTGCTCTATTTAAGAAGTGGAAATGGGTGGTCAAAACTCCCATTTACTCAGCCTATACTAACTACATTCCCCTCAACTATTAAACCTTAAAAGCTCGATAGTGTTCCGTTTACAAACCACATATTTGTCTAGAAAATTTCTGAAATCTGTTTCTTACCAACTAGTAACGTATATACAGTTTGGTTATACTACTGCCAACCATAAAACATTCTGGTTAAGAGAGAGTTACGAAAACCTGAGGGGTGAGGATTTAAGAGGAAGACAGCAGGAATTCTATACAACTGTGGCAAATTTGTAGCCCACAAGAAAAGGAGCAGGACTACCATACAGGGATCTAATGGCAGTTTAGATCCAAATCAAGTATCAAAAAGGAATGCCCAAACCATGGTGAACAGGATAGAATGTAGCTTAAGAAATGCAGAATAAACTTAGAACTATTAGCTACAGAGTTATTCTTGGGATTCTTCAAACCTAAGGTAAGACAAAATACAGAAGAATTCTGTTTTAGGCAGGGATTCAAAGATGGTTCCCTACATAGCAGGTGCCAGTGCTCAAACAAGGTGGGCTAGGTTGGGGGGCCAGTTAGGGATCCAGACAAATGAGTGATCAAGAGAAAGGTATAAAGTAATAGAAAATATACTTCAGTATTTTCTAAACCTATTTTGCATATTAATGCATTTTAGTCAAGGTGACTGTAAGAGATAGATTCACATGCCAAAAGCTCTTTAAGAAATGATACAAAAGACTTTAAGAAAGGAGGTAAAAGCAAGTATTTCCAGCCCTAACATGCCATGATTCTATGATGTTTACAGGGATAAAATTCAGAAAAGGACTAACACTCATAAGGTCTTGGAAACATTACAATGGGCTTCTAAATTTTAAATACTATTTCAAGTAAATAATTACCATTAGAAGAACAAGAAATCCTAACTCCTTTTCTTGATATTCACTGAGAAAATGCTACCTACCTATAGATACAGTATTTTTGTAATATGCTATCTGACTTTTAAAATAAAGTTACATTTATCAACTGGAACCATGGCTTACCCCAGAGAGATTTCCCAGAACCAGTTTTACCAACTGCTTCACATAGGAAAATGAAGGTGCACAATTGCTGTTCCTAATGTGGGCACTACAAGCATCCAGGACAGTTCGAACAGAAACCCGAGCATAAATTACATCCTCGCACATTCCAAGTAAAATGCTGTTGAGATGATCTCCAAGCTTGATAGGCTGAATATAAATAAAGAGAGCAAAAGGCAAGTTGATCAATGTTGAGTAAATCACTTTACCTAATATGAAACAAGCTATTCCAGGAATCATATGAACTATATCAAACAGTCTTCAAACATCTGGAGGAAATGAATTCTTCATCTAGTACAAGACATATTTTACTGCATTTTATGATTTATAGGTCAAAAAATTTATTAGCAGAAGATGGTTAAACGTGTCTTCTAATATGGGGAATATTATTTAAAAACTTCCCAATTCAGGGAGTACTCTGCCTTTTTAGTGGGAGAAAAATATATACAAGAGGGTTGCACAAAAATTCATAGAAAAATGAATATGAAACCTCTTCACATTCATATTCATTGCATTGTGTTGTAGTTGCTACATTCGCCAATGATCCACAGCATGGGTCATTATATTCCTAATGACTAGTGCAATCTCTGACACAGGGTAACTTCTTAATAAATAGCTTCTAATTAACATTATCATTGTTGTTAAGAGTCGTCGAGTCGGGTCCGACTCATAGCGACCCTGTTCAGGGTTTCCAAGGAGCAGCTGGTAGGTTTGAACCACTGACCCTGTAGTTCTAAGTATCTTGCTGATCCCAACAACTCCCACACCAGAACTCTCTAATGATATTCTTATTGGTAAGTGTCATTGAGTTGATTTAAACTCAAAACAACCCTGCACAGGGTTTCCGAGAACAGTGAATGGGTTTAGTCTGATGACCTTGTGTTACACAGTCCAATGCTGATCTTAGCTGAACCAATTTTCAGTTATGATAAATTCTGATCTCAAAATACAAGGCATTTGTTTCCACTTGAATTTAAATGGTATTTATGTTGCCTTTCTCTCCAGTTGTCAGAAAATAAGTGTAAAGTGTTAATAACAGACTGTGATCACATTTACCATGTAGTCAGGCTGTGGTGTAATATATCTGGGAGCCCTTGTGGGGTGCTGTGATAAGCACTGTACTTCAAGATCAGTTTGAACCAAAAGATCAGCAGATCAAACTCACCAGCTGCTTTTCAAAAACCTTATACAGGGTTGCTATGAGTCAGAACCAACTCGACAGTGCTGTGCAACAATAATGTATTCGACAGCAAATTCCTAATAATTTAACACTGTCCTTTATACTCATATTGAAAAAAAGGGAGAGGAAAATAGCATTTTTTTAATGCAAAGTGAGACCAAACCAAGTCCAAGAAAATCAATCATTGTTTTTAGATCTTAAGGTATTTTAATTTTAGCGTAATCACCTCAAATGCTTGTTACTTCGTAAGTTTCATACATCAAACACACAAACACATGCCTAGTTATTGTAGTTTTCCATTATAACCGTCAAATAAAATATAATTTTATGTGTTATATATTTGTTTGAATATAGATATTTTTCTATTTCAATTATTATTTTCGATTGTTTATATTGGCTCTTTAGGGATAAGAATGAGTTTATACCATTAAATACAACACACTTTTGACAGAGAAGCAGTCCAACAGTCCCCAGAAACTGAGAGTTTAGACAGTGTTAACTTTAATATCTGTAGCTGCTGCAGCCGTGGTAATAAAATATGACTTATGAAGTGACAGAAGACAAAAGTAATGAGGTCCTTTTATACCGTACTCATTGACAGAGTCTAGTCCAAAGGATTTGTATCAAAAAGGGTACTCATTCAGCATAAAAATGAATTAACGATCAAGGACACTTATAATCGCTCTTGTTGTTGTTGTTGTTAAGTGCCGTCAAGTCAGTTCCAACTCATAGTGATCCTGTATAGGGTTTCCAAGGAGCAGCTGGTGAGCTTGAACCACCGACTTTATGGTTCAAACCAACTTGCAGTCCAGCACATTAACCTGTAGTGCCACACAAGGACTCTTAGCAGTCATTAATTAAGTAGGAGTAAACTATACTCCCATCTTCCTTGCTATAATTTTTAAAGGGATGGCAACATCTGACAGACTGAACTTTTGAAATATAAGCAGTTATTGCTACAATTCTAAGTATATTTCAAAAATAATTTCTTCAGTATTTTACATTATTTTGAAAGTATGATATTACTAACGCGAACAACCAGCACAGAGATGCTACTATACCAGAAAACACGCTATAGAACATATATAGATATGTCAAAGAGTTTTGTAAAAAAATGCAAAAATTGTAACAAATGTAAAAACCTGACTTACTTGGCTCTGAGGTACTTCATGGTCAGCCCCCCAGTACAATGTCATTCCAAGGGAATATATATGAATCTAGGAATAGAATTTTTGTAAGATATTATTTTATAGGAAAATATTTCAAAAATTAGCAATTCTTGTATGTTCATCATTTTTTGTTTCAAAGAAAGGATAACACAAATATGAGAAAATAATTTTATATTTTGTATAAAATATGTGAGACATTAAAACACAAAACAAGACGGAAAATTATTAGAGGTGGCTTTTTCTTCCTAAATAGTACTTAAATTGTTTTCTTTCTAGTTATCAGAAAAAAGTACAAAGGGCTTCAAAAAAGTTCATGGAAAATGGAATTAAATGATAATGGATTTTTCCACTAACTTTTTTAAGTCCCCTTATAAAAAGTGGTAATTGTAGGCTGGGGTCACATTTGACATGTAGTTAGGTGGCACAGTATATTTGACAGCAATATTTCCAATAATGATTTAATACTCTCCATTATATTTATAGAATTTTAACAGAAGAAAGAAAAGGAAATGTTCACCTACTTTTTAGGATGCAATGTAAGGCCAAACCAAGTAGTAACGAATGTCTGCCTTGAGCTCTACGCTCTTTTAAGATTTATATATGCTTGTGTAGGTAAGATGAACTATCATTTGACTTTAAATTTTTGATCTGCTCTCTTTTATATTCCCTGGTATTTATTTGTAGAAGAAACCAAGCCATTTGTCCTAAATAGTTACCCATATTTGGGAGTCTACTGATAGCATCATCATGAGACTTGTTCTTCTGCCTCTGTATTTCCTGCTAATTGGTAGTATGATCTAGAGGTCTGATATGATTCACCTGTAAGTTTTTGACAAAAATACCTCATAGGGGAGGGGGAGGAGGTGATAGGGGTGGGGAGGAGGAGGGGAAGAGGTAGGGATGAGCAGGGGTGGTGGTGCGAGGAGGTCACTGTGGGGCTCGGTTTTTGGGAGGGGTGGGGGCCAGGGGGGGCTCAGCTATGGATGCAAATGGGAGCCAAGGCACCTTGGGCAGTGCCAACGACTCCCAGCACGACCCCAGTAAAATGTTTATCGGTGGACTGAGCTGACATACTTCACCCAATAGCCTTAGAGATCATTTTAGCAAATGCTCCAGAGGCTTCGATTCGTCACGTTTGCAGACCCAGCAAGTGTAGATAAAGTATTAGGTCAACCCCACCATGAGTTAGATTCCAAGACGATTGACCCTAAAGTTGCAGTTCCTCTTCGAGCACAACCCAAGGAGCCAGATGAGAAGGGTGCAGGCTCCAAGAAGGATTTTCCAGCTCCATCTCCATATTCCCTCTCCCTATCAGCATGGGTTGGTGACCAGTTTTTTGCTTCAGTTTCTTTGCAAGGGCTGCTTTTACTGCCAACAGCTACATAATGATTTGACCAAAGGTTAACGGAGACTTTCAGCCAAGACATGGACCAGAAAGAGCTACATCAAGGAGGCATTTCAGCCCTGCAGTTTGACTTCTTGATTTACAAAGAGCGTCCTTCTGTGAGAGTTTGCCATCCTAAAGGGGAGAAGGCTACCTGGGGAGCATGGCTTGGAAGCTGGGTTCTGCAGTACCCCGAGGCTGTGACTGGGCCCCAGGGATGGAGAAGATTTCAGCATTGCTAAGTGTAGGTGCCCAGGCTTCCCAGTAACTCCCTCCTGAGGGACTTGACAAGACAGCTTCATAGAGGTGGGGTTGGGGTCTCCCTTTGTGTGACAGCTCATCACTGCAGAAGAAGGGAAGGAGGGAGGAGAGAAGATTGGTCAGGAGGTGTAGAGTCCTACTTGGTGTTTTGGAAACCCACTTCTGGTACTACATGAAATTCAGTAAGCTTTCTTTACAGACTGAGGCCGGGCTGATGAAAGGCCATTTGCAATTCCAGAATGTTCTTAGGTGTGTTTGGCAGACAAAGTTCTGTCTTGTAACTGTTTCCTCTCCCACTGACCCCGTCCTCCTTCTCTTGGTGAAATGGTTTTAAGTCGGCCCGGCAGCACCTTTTTGTTATGCTTTGTGCCCCCAGCATTAACTGGATGCACTGTTACCGCACGCATGGATCTGTGGATGCCAACGCTGTGTGGACTTCTGACAGTAGCCTTGGCCTCCTTTTCAGGAGCAGGCCTGAAGGGGCGCTGTAGACAGGAAACTAGGAGTTGTTGTTGACACTGTTATGATTATTCCCTTGAAGAAAGGGTGGAAAGCGACTTGTAGGGGAGAGGGAGAAAGGGGTCTTACATAAATGAGCACTACAGCACAACCACTGTTAGGGTGTGGCCCTGCGTTTTGGCTTCTCCCAGTCTAGCATAGCAGGGGCAGCAGCGATATAAACAAGGGTACACACTTGTTGTTGTGTTAGGTGCCATCAAGTCAGTACTGACTCATAGTGACCCTATGCACAACAGAACGAAACACTGCCCAGTCCTGCACCAACTTCACAATTGTTGCCACACTTGACCCCACTGATGTTGCCATTTTGCCAATCCATCTCACTGGAGTCTTCCTCTTTTTCACTGACCCGCCACCCTACCAAACATGACATACTTCTCCAGTGATTGATTCCTCCTGATAATATGTTTGAAGTATGAGAGATGAAGTTTGGTCAGGAATGTTGATAATAGCCTTGCTTGATCTACCATGGGCCAAGGGACATCAAGAACAGGGTGTGGGAGCAGGCCTCACAGAGGAGACCACTGTGAGCTGAATCTTGAGAGGGGAGAGAAATCCTTCAAGTTGAGGGACGGGTGAAACAGTCAAGTCCCATAACTTTTGGGGGACATGCCAGTTGTTCCTGATGGGCTGACATGTAATGTGCACAGGAGGGTGGGTTAGAAAGTTGAGTCACTCACTGTGTTGCACATGTTTGGAGCACCTGACCTGATTCAGGCACACCCAGGCTCTGCCCTTGTGGAGTCTGCAGTCTGGCAGAGCGAGAATTCATTATTGGAGTTTAGTGGTGATAGACACTAGACATCCCTGCTGCAAAGATGTGGAGGGTGTTTACAGGGAGTGTGACAGAAAACCCAGGCCTCCTAAAGGGTTTTGGGAAGGCTTCCTGGAGAAATAACCCTGAAACTGAGCTTGAAAGGTGAAGATAAGACTTAACTAGGAAGTATTGGGGTACATTCTAAATGCTGAGGGAATGCAGAGGGCAAGGAGGAGCAAGGTGAGAGTAATTCTGGGAAGGTACAATATGCATGAGGGATCAGAGTTTCTTATCCTTAAAAGTTGGGGACCCCACTTATGGATTTCAGAAGGGATGTGACATGATCACTTTTGAGTTTTGGGAAGAACATTCTGGCAATCTGTGTGGAAAAGGCTTGTGGGAGCCGCCCCAGGAAGATGGCAGCTTGGGTGAGTCCTTGCTGGTGAACACCAGTGGATAGAGTTGTAGGAGTCTGGGAATGAGAGCGACTGCTTGGTGATTTGGTTAGCTAAAGGGTGTCAGAAGTGTTCAAGGTGAGAGGCAAGTGTGGTTGGTCATCTATATGGTAGATGCCTCCCTGTGTCCCATGAGACAGGGGACATGGGTGCTATGCAGGGACATAGTGTCCAGCTTGGTGGGAGATGTCATACTTTTGATGATGTGCCCCTATGTAAAAAAATTTCTGAGTGTGCATACATGCACTAAAATAAATGTGTATCTCCTAAAAAATAAAAAATAAAAAAAACCTTCATAGGCAGTATTGCATATTTCTATCAGAAATTCCACTTGTGCTTCTTCAGTGGTATGAGCAGGCATTAACAATCAATATGTAAATGATTCATAGGGATCTGCAAATGGTGACACGACATTTCAACTCAATTACTTTCCATTTATCAGATAGAAGATGAACTTTCCCTTCCTTATTAACTATTTGGTTACTCTGAGATAATATACATTAAAAAAAGAATTCTGTAAGTGCTCTCAAACCTTCTGATATATAAACACAACTGGCTGCCCCCTTTGCAATTTCACAGTTCTTTATCCACCCCTTACATCATCTGCTAAATTGTCTTCTTAAATTATGGACTAAAAAACTTATCTTATTTCTCTTTTCAACTATGTTTATACTTTCCAATTTTTAAAATTCCAAATTCTTTACGATATTCAATGCTCATTCTGACCTGCCTCCATCTCAGTTTCCAGATGATTTTTTTTTTTTTTAATTTCCCTTCTGTTATCTCTCTTTCCTCTGTTGTTGTACAGTGCTGTCAAGTGGGTTCTGATGCATAGTAACCCTGTACAGGATTTCCAAGGAACGGCTGCTGGGTTTGAATCACTGACCTTGGGGTTACCAAGCTAGTTCTTATCCGACCGCGTCAAACCAGGATTCCCTCTTTCCCTTATTGTTGTTGCTAAGTGACATCGAGCCAGTTCCAACTCAGCAAGTCTGTATAAGGTTTCCAAGGAGTGGCTCGTGGGCTCTAACCGCTGATCAAACCTGCAGTGCTTATCCTACAACACCACAGCAGGACTCTTTCTTCTAACAGAACCTAAATACTTCAGCACCACTAAATAGATGGAGTCCTGGTGTGGTGCCTGTAGGATAAACAATCAAGATCAAGGTCGGTTTGAACCACAGGGACAGTGGTTCCTGGATTTCCGAGGAGCAGCTGGTAAACTTGAAATGCCAACCTTGCAGTTCAAACGGCTTTGTAATCTGGCGCATTAACCCACAGCACCACAAGTGTGAAAAATAACAGAATAAGTCATCTGCTATATTCAGAAGCATGGAGTCATCATGCTCATTATAACATTAAATAGGTTGTAGTCTACTTATGGTGAAAGAACACAACCTTGTTGCACACCTTTCCCAATTTTAAAACATTCAGTGTTCCCATGCTCTGTTCGAACAACTGCTTCTTGGTCCAGGTACAGATTCCTCAGAAGTACA